TAGAAAGAAAACAAGAGTCACCCAAAAAACCCTAAATCTTGAATCAGTCATCAACAATAGCAAAAATCTTACCAGAGTCCTGCAATGAAATGTAATTTAAAAGCACAGGAAAATACTATATTTATGATACTTTTACATTTGAAAGAATGCTTCATCTTCTTTTTTAATCAGTATTAGAAACAATGCTTAGATATGCCAAAGTGCCTGTAACTTTATTTTGTGAGAAAATGTCTACCCCTGGGGACTTGGAAGAAGTCTCCCACTCTGGCCACCCATCACACTTATCGCTGCCACCTAACCCATCCAAAGAACATCTCTTTATAGCAACCTCCAGTGGCTCCCATTATTCAGGTCTTCAAAGACCTTAGCAACTGTACCTGAGTCTATCTTATCTTCAACCAGGTAAGAGGACACAGAATAGGCGAGAGATGCAAGCATCAGAATATGAACACATATATATATATTTCTTACTATGAGTTTTCAACTTTCATTTCTGACACTGAAGTCCATAGTCCACCCAGTGTTAATTTATATACATTGGGCAGGGATCCAATGCCATCTTTTTCTTTATTAATCTTTTTTCCAGCTTCTTTGGTTGTGGTGTTAGAGACGGAATCCAGAGCCTCACACAGGATAAACAAGTGCTCTACCACTGAGCCCCGCTCCGAGCCTGTTCCAGCTTTTTATTCAGCAGCACCTTCCTCACCACTGGCTGACATGACATTTATATCACAGAGATACTCTACACATACATGCACTGGTTTCTGGGCTATTTCATACCACGGTCAATCTCTTGATTCTTACCTATTTCATACTCTCAGTATTCCCGCAATTTAAGAAATCCTGCTTTCTTATAGGGCAAGTTTTCCTCCCTCATTTTTTCTTTTCCAGAATTATCTTACCTCTTTTTCTCCCTTTATTCCTCCATTAATTGTATCAGTATTCGTGAAAACTCATAGAGGTATTTTGCTTGGAATTAGACTCTATGGCACATTTTAGAAGGAATGACCATCTCCAACCATATTAATTCTCTCTCTATAGCAGAGATTGGCAAACTAAGGCCTGCCATCTAGTTTTTTAAAACAAAGTTTTATTAGAACATAGTCATAGCCATTTACTTTACTTACATCTTCTTTATGGTACACTGGAAGAGTTGAGTAGTAGCAACAGAGATCATATAGTCCAAAAACTCCCAAATTAATTAGTAACTGGCCCTTTATAGGAAAAGTATGCAGAATCCTGCTCTATATGAGCACTGTATATTTCTCCATAAATTTAGATATTTTTACACCACTTCTCATAGAGTTTTATAGTTTTCCCTATACTGAATGTCAAATGTTATTACTTGATATTGCTATAAATATCAATAATTAATTTTTTAGTTGTTTCTGGTCAGTGTATAGAAATGTAACCAATTTTTATACAGCATTCTATCTATTCATCTTGATAAACTCTTATTATTTGTAATAAGTTCCAGATTTTTGATATATGCAACCACATTACCTGATAATAATGACAACTTTATTTTCTTCTTTCCAATCTTTCTTTTTTATTCTTGACTTTAAGCACTGATTACTCTTTAATGTTGAAAAGAAGATTGTTAAAAATCTATGTCTCACTTTAAAAGCAATGATTTCAATGTCTGTCTCCTCAGGATCACACTTGCTTTAGGTTACTGTCATTTATAAATTAAGAAATTTTCTAACTTATTAAAAGTTTTAAACATGAGTATTGATTTTTATCAATATTCTCTTGCATCCACTGAATTGGTAAATTGTTTTTCTCCTTAGTCTTTATTTTTTAATAATTTTAAATTTTTTATTAGTGTATGCTTATAGTACACAATGATTACCTTCACCATGGTGAGTTGGGTATATACACATAAACACATCTGAATTATCTTTACTTCCTCTTATCCTCACCTCTCTCCCTTCTCCCTCCATTTCTTGGTCCCCTTCCCATTTTCAAAAGACCTATTTCCTGGTTACCTATTCTCTTTTATTTTGCTTTTTTTGAGACAGGGTCTCACTATGTAGTTGAGTCTGACCTGGAACTCACTATGTAGCCCAGGCTGGTCTCGAACTCACAGCAATCCTCCTGCTTCAGCCTCCCAAGTGCTGGGATTACAGGCGTGCACCACCACGCCCGGCATATTTTGCTTTTTAAATGAGGTTTCTCATATAACCATGTGATATTTAAGCTTGTGTGCCTGATTTATTTCACTTAACATTATGATGTTAAGGTGCATTAGTTTTCCTACTTAAATTTATTACTTAGCCTTTTAATGTGATTGCCTATATTGGTAGATTTTTCTAATATTAAAAAGAATCTGCCTGCCTGGCAAGCACAAGGTCTTGAGTTTGAACCCTAGTACCCCCCCCATCATTCCGCAACTCAACATGGTCAAAATATATATATTTAAAATATGCTGTTGGATTCTATTTACTAATATTTTTGTCAGGCTTTTTTATATCTACATTCATAAATGAAACTACCTTGTGATTTTCCTTTCTTATAATATCTTTGTTCTTTTAGAACCAGAGATGTTGGCCACATAGAATGAGTATGGTGTGTTGTTTTTTGAGAGATGATCTGTTCTTTGAAAGTTTGGGGGAAGCTGTTTATAAAATATATAGATATTATGTTTTTTGTGGATAGATTTTTAATCACTGCAGCTATTTCTCAAAGAGTTATAGGCATTTCAACTTTCCCTTCTTTCATCAGTTCTCATACTCCATATTTTCCCCAAGTGTTAGCACAAATTGTGGGCATATATTCTTTTTATCACATTCAATTATCTTTTAAATTTCAAATTTATCTGCAGTTTTGTGACTCTTTATCTTCTTTCCATTTTTTTTTTGTTTTTTTAAGACTGGGTCTCCCTATGTAACCCAGGCTGGCCTCAAACTCACAATCCTCCTGCTTCAGCTTCCTGAATAGCTGAGATTCCAGGGAGTACATGTATGCATCACCACCCTGGCTTTCTTCATTAACCTTGCCAGAGATTTATCTACTTTTTATTGTTACAGTGTTTTTTTCAAAGAAGTTTTTCTTTACTGAGCCTCTCTCTATATAATGGAGATTAGTTAGGAGTCAAAAAGATAAACTGCAATAAGAAGCAATTTACAGATAAATCTTAGTATCATGATATTAAGGGAAAAAGTCCCACTGTCTTTCTAATTACTGATACCTAAAGTTCTAGAATTTCATATTATGACAAACGAGAAACAAATAAGCAACACAAACCCCACAGATGCCAAGTTCTGTTTATATTTATAGTTGTAAAACTCCAATTCAACTTTGCAAATCTTTGACCCATAAGAGCGAAAAGAGTATAATGTTTCTCTGTGATTGGCCAAAGTCAACCTGTGATTGGTTTAAGTTACTGCTAATGCTGAATTAAAAGACCTAAGCAGATAAAATGATGGTTATGATCACTGAGGTTACAAACATATGAGTAGGTCACTTCAGCTCTCAACTCTATCCTCTGTTTTGTAAAGTGAAAGCTCACAGTAGGCGCCATTCTGCTGAGGCTCTTCCTTCACTGTCTGGCATTCAATTGGACCTCTACTAAAGCAGCATCCAGAGCCCCCACTCCTAAGGGATGAAGTTCTACTACCCACTCTCAATCAGTCTGTGTGCCTCCTCCAGGAAAACTCTCCTGTCCTCCCCAGGAAGAGATCTGTTTTGCAGACCTGCTATTCCTAAGTCATCTCCTTTACCACAATGGTGTCTAATTATCCTGTATTCACTGTCTTGTCAAATACAGGGTTACAATTCAACTCCAGGCTGAACAAACATTTCCATTATCTGTGAAGAGTCCTTTCTAGGCATAGGATAGAGATAGTTTTTTTTTTTTTGGTTTATTTTTCTTGCCTATAATTTCTCTAAAAATTATTGGTATCAGTTTGATTCTTGAAACTCATTAAATTCCTGAGTTCTATCCATGATTAGTAGCACTAGTCAGCTAAACTATTTCAACTTTCCCATTAGAATCACAGTTATCAGATGAAAAGGTTATTCTGGGCCCAAAAAGAAAAATTTACATTATGGACAATATTTTTTATTAGTTCAAGAAAGTATCCACTGTATTTCACTTCCCACCCAAAGGGAATGAAAGAAAATATCATTTTGGCATTTGTAATATTTCAGCTATATGAAAACTTCTAGTTGTAATATGGATATAAATATACATTTCACCAAAATATAAACTCTAATCTTCAGAGAATAAATCAATTTCATATTCATGCAGATTCTTAAAAATTTTAGTAATATGTAGATAGCAGAACAATAGAAACAGTCCCTTTAAAATATTCTACTTAAGGGCCGGGGATTTTGCTCAGCAGTTCGGTGGCCTGCCTTGCAAGTGCAAGGACCCAAGTTCAATCCCCAGTACCAAAAAAAAAAAAAAAAAAAAATTCTACTTTTTAGTCAGTGACTTTGATCTTATTTTTCCATAGATGTTTGTAGGGTAAAAGGCAAGGGAGAATGCTAGTGTGTGAATTGTGATCTTCCTTGAAGGTAGGAAAGAAAATGAAATTAGCATGTATTTACAATTAATGTGGCTAATAAATCCTAAGCACTATTAACAGAAAATTTCAATAAAATGTATCACTTGTTCTGACAGAAGTGATGCTGATGGGAAATGACCAGGACCTTCTCTCCTACTGCCATCCATGCTCTTTTCCTGTCAGGAATCACTGGTCACTAGTGCTGTGGAGGGGTGCACGTGCACATGTGTGCGTGTGTGTGTGTGTGTGTGTGTGTGTGTGTGTGTGTGTGTGTTTGTAGGGATGGTGGGTGACTCATCTGTAGCTTTGTGGATGGCAGTATTAGTAGGTTAAGTATATTTGGGGTTTAAAAAGCCCAACAGCAGTGGGTAAAAGACATGTTCCAAGACCTAGAAAAAGGAGGCAAACACTTGTGAGCCAAGGAGATGTGAGTGTGGAATCTCCTATGCCTGAGGCCGTAACAAGGCCAAGCAACACTGAGGTCTGTACCTGTTTCTCAGCTTGTTTCAGGAGCTTCTGGAATCTCTCGTCCTCGAGCACACCTGGTGGAAAGTCAGTCTCTCCCTGAGCTTTCAGCTCCTCCAGCTTTTGCCGCAAGCCCCTCAGGGCCTGCAGTTCATCATTGAGGCGGCTCTGGTGGGTTAGAGAGGCCTGCAGGTCCAGTTCTAGGTCTAGAGATGTGCGCACCGGGCATTCTTGGGCTGTCCTTCTGAGGACTGGCTGGCAAACCGTCTGGAGAGTTAGAAAACACAAATCATCCCTGTTAGATGGACAGCCATTACTCTGCCTGTTTCCTCCCTGGCGCAACAGGGCTGCTCTTCACTGCTGCCTGGACTGAGTGCCTAACCTGCCAAATGTCTTGCTTTAGCCAACCAAAGGTGGGTAGAAGGGGTATGCATTACTTCCAGGAGGAAGGGTGCCAAGGCCAGGGTGAGGTCTGCACACTTCTGTCTCCTGCTAGATAGACAGCAAGTAGCCAGAGACCGAGGTTCCATCACAGCCTGGGCACCATGAGAACAATAGGAGCACAATATTGGCAAACATGCAATGAGCAAGGAGCTCAGTAAAAAATATACTTAATCATTTTACGCCACAGAGATTTTTATAAAGTTATTATCTTTTCTACTATAGCCTTGCTTCACCTGCTCTACATGAAAGACAAGCACATCACAAGGAACTTAAAGGCCCTCTATTTCAGGACATATAACTACCCCCACAGATCATCCATTTGCTAGTACTTCCATGAGTACTGGCCACAGCACAGGTGGTTGAGGGGACTAAGAACTTGACTTCTTCCTCCAACCAATGTTTACATTCCAACTCCTTCCTTGATTTCCCATTATGCACGCTCCACTTTCACCATTGAATTATGACTGCTCTTCTGTTCTTTCCCTCGTGCCAATGTTATCCCTTTGTTGAGGGATAATTATTGAATATGTATGAATAAATGTCTGCTCTGGTTTTGCAGGCAGGACACCAGGAAGACGGGTATAACCCCTCACTCCCACAACTGGGGCTTGAACCCAGGGCCTTGTGCAAGTTTGAGAGGGCAGAGGTAGAATAAAAGAAACCTAAAAACAAAAGTGCTACAGAAGCCTAGCACCTAAATGTTTAGTGAATATGCAGACAAGTTCTCTATCACTGAGCTACATCTCCAGCCCTAAGACACAGTCTCTGATCTTATATCACTGTTCACCAGACAGTAAGGAACAACAGACTGTGAATTACTATCTTAAAGGCTATAGGAAGTGAAGGAAGGGAGAGATCATTCAGAGATGGATCAGAGTCATTTGAGGAAAGGAACTTAAAATAGGCTGGGCAAGATAGCATATGCCGAGAGCACAAGACAGTATTTTTTGCCTAGGTTTTCAGCTGCAGAAACAGAAAATAAGAGGTTTTTAGTAGGAACTGGTGATATGTGATACGAGAAAAGAGGGCTTCAAACTTGACATGTGCTCTAGTTTGTAGATTAGAACAGTGGTGCTCATGAGAGATGGAAGGACAGGCACTGTCTGTGCCTTTTACTTTTATTTCAGGGTCTAAACCCAAATGTCTCTCCTGCTCCTTCCCCTTTTGTCCAACGTATCTGTACTGCATGTTTACTAAAAATTTAGATGTTAGGTTTCTATAACATTTTTATTCTCAAGTTTCCTTTTTTCAACCTCTGCCTTCTCTAACAAATATGTTGACTGTATTACTGATTTTTCGGAATCAGACATCTTTCCTAGATGTTATACATATAGAGCCTTTCTAAGGACTCTTGTGCACACTGGAATGCGGGTAAATATTCAACAAAAGGCTCTGGGACAGGGGGGTAATGATCTATAGGGCTATTCGATATTTTTATGGTATAAACTGCTTTTATTGTAAGAGATCCATGTGAGGTCACAGAACTGGGCAGAGCCAGAATGAAGAGGGTCCAACTCATCACTGCCAAAGTTACCCCTCTGACCTCATTATTTATATTCCTGGCACTTTATCTTCTAGTCAGGTAAACTATTTATTAGTCTTTGCAGATGCTTTGTTTTATTAGACCTCTATGCCATTTTCATTTATGTAATTCATTTCATTTATGCAATTTCTAAATGAGAAATTTTCATTTCTGTGAAACCATATCTGCCCCTTAAAAGCTATTTAAAAATTATCTTTACACAGTATTTCAGATAAACTTCTGTGTGGTTCAAGTAGTACTAAAACTAAGTTTATAAATAACCTGTTTTCAGGTTCACTCAACTCATAAACACTTCTGGTTAAAATTTCTCTGAAGTGTGCTACCATCCTTGAAAAGCAAGTGCTGCTTCAGAAGCCAGGTGACTTAGAAAGGTGGTGAGAGGAATTTTCACTAAACATGATGAAAATTTAGGTGCTTTCAAAGCATAAAGTTTGGCTATCTAAAAGACCTACATTTCAGAATTTCCTTCAAATGTTGAGGGCTACGTAAATCCTGGCACATCTGCCTTTTGACAAAAGAAATAATTTTTTATTATCTTCAAGGAGCTAGCTACAGCTAGTAAGTACCATAGCTAGTACAGCTACAGCTAGTGGCATGAAAGCTAAGCAGCACTGGGGAAGAGGGTAATTCTAACTCATCTCTCCAGTCCCCAGCCCCACCTTCCAATCCACAGCGGCAAGACTCTGGCAAATGTGAATGCCAGTCATTCCACCTGTGCTCACATCATCCCATCCCACCTGACAACAGCTCCTAGTATCCATCACTTCCTCTACACCACACATCCTCCACTTACCCCAAAGCAACCATTTTCTTTGACATTTTTTACCCAGGTCTCAAGGCCTGGTGCCCGCCCCCACCCCAGGGAGTCTCTGTTAAGATTCCTCTGCAGGTTAGCTCACTCCCTGTCTTCTCCAGCTACATATACCTGAGTTTTTTCCTTAGAGAATGGACTCCTGAGGGTGGGTGGAGACCTCCCCACTAATGAGAGTCTAACACATGCAATGCTCCATGCTTAACAACACATTTTACCCCAAACTGACAGCAGTAAACAGATAGCTTTAGTATTTCAGCCACTGGTAAGTAAACAGAAATTTCTGAATTACTTGATGAGACTGACCTTTTAATTTACTTAAGTATTTTCTCAGACTTCTCCTTAACACTCGGCCAAAGACTGATGGCCCCCAGGAAAACTTGACCTGAGTGTCCTCACCTGTATTCATTTTAGCTCTCTGAAAATAACTATTTAGGCAACTTACAAATCTGTGAGCTTAAAAAATTCAACCAAAACAAAAACATGCAATGATGTATGTGCTACTCCTTTGCAGAGTGTCTGCTCCTTCAGAAAAGGTACCAGGTATTATACTCCTCCCACAACTGCTCCAGAGCCAGAAACGGTGTGGAGAATGTGGCAGCATCGTTGGAAATGATGCACTTGGGGCTCAGCATGCTCCTTCTAAAGACACTGAAAACCAATTTCCAGTCTTAATTTTCACAGGTTCCAAATCAGTGATGAATGAATGTTCTCCAGCACAACCTCCCTGGCTTGGTAACTGACATAACATCTGCATCTCAGTGTGATCACTGTGGCTTCAGTCAACAGCCTCAGAACTTGGAGCACTGACACCCAACCATTCTAGAATTTATGCTTTGCATCTCTGGAATGTGGATTGGTCCAGGGTGGTGGGATGTGGCTGAGGGAATACATACCCTTTTGACCCTTAAACTGCGCCGTTCAGTGGAATTTCTCACAAAGAGTGATTTCTTTGCCAAGGTTGAACTGTCACTGTCACTCCGATTTAACTACGGACAAAAGATTTTTAAAATTACCATATAACGGAATGCTGGTAAAAATCATAATGGAGAAGTTTGTCTTCTCCAGAAAAGTTCTTCTTCATTCTGTGCTTACTTTTCTTCAATAATTTAAATAACTGCCCTTTGGTAGCAGTTGCCGAGGTCACATGTTAAGATAATTATACATTAAAAAAAATAAAATGGCCCTTTGCATATTTAGCTATTATGCAATCCATGTTTCTTTAAGGAAAGGTTTACATAAGTTACAGCGCTTAAGGTCCAAGTTAAGACACACACACAATGCTCTTGCCTCAGACATGACCTGCTTCGGGTCTCTGCTGGATGCTACCTTCTCTGGGAGGCCTACTCAGAGGCCTACTTAGCACTCCCAGCCCTTTCAGCCTTGATCCCTACCCAAGAAACTTCACTGACTATTCGCCATAGTTATTCTTTATGGCCTGGCTCATCCACAAGAAAGCTCTGCAATGGGAGGGCTCTGGGTCACTTTTGTTTCCAAGTTTCTAGAAATGTGCTTAATAAAAATATTTTTGACTTGAGTGAATAAGTTCATTATTTAAAAAATATTTGTAATCCATTTTATAGTGTACTATTAATTTTTTTTTTTTTTTTTTTTTTGTACCGGGGATTGAACTCGGGTCCTTGCACTTGCAAGGCAGGCCACTGAACCGCTAAGCTAAATCCCCGCCCCTATAGTGTACTATTAAATCTTACTGTAAATCATAAATACTTCTAGAAGTATAATTTGATAAACTAGTATAAATCTCACAATTGTATTCATAGAACTATGAATCTAATTCAGTGTCCAGAGGCATCATTAAGAGATGATTTTTGTTCTAAAATCTAATTCACAATTCTCAGTTCAACAAGATCAATATTGAAGCATATATGATAGATAGCAGAAATAAAATATGTATCTTAAAAACCACTGTATCTTTCTAAACGAAATTTAAGAATTTTTAGCACCTAGTCCTTGAATTTCACTTACTTGCCAAATAAATTACACTAGAACCAATGAGACATGAAGTTTGGGGTAAATACACTAAAAAGAACCGGAGAGTATGACTTCCTTTGTGTATTTTATGGCACTTCTAGCCATTAGTATTTGTACTCAGACTGCAGCTTCCAGTGCACAGTGTCGTGGCATTAATGGGCCACTGACAAGAAGCTGCAATACCTCGGGCTGCAGCAGGAGCATTGCCACCTTACCCTGCAGATGTACTGGCTCCGCTCTCCTGGAGAAAATGTCTGTGAGCGCACTATCATGCTGCTCCTCACGAATGGATGCTGTCGAGAGCTCAGGCTGCTTCGCTCTTTGGGGCGAACTGCCACACTGTCACTAACTGCTTCATCAGTATTTGTCTCTTTGTCAACCTACAAGAGAGATTGGGGAACTTGTCAGGAGTAGGTAAATGTGGGTACATTTATGCTCCCTTCTTCTAAGTAAGAGTGAAATATCTAATGCTCAACAGAGGGTCATTAAGCACCAGGGATGCTCCTGAGAGAAAGGTTTGCAGTACAGATCCTGGTACTTCTGCAGGGAAAGTGGTGAGAATACTTTTCTACTGCGTTTTTAGGAAGTTACCCACAGGAGGTGGGAGACAGCTGTCCAACAAAGTTACCCGTAAATGGGGGGGCTACCCTTAACAGGTTAGACTTAGACATTTAGATTTAGAGGCATCACATAAAGAATCCTATTTGAAAATATATCATCCTTAAATGCCATTATACTTTCTGGTTAGTTTTCTTCATAATAAATGATAAAAACAATTATATATAAGAAAATGAAAATATATCACAAAGTTATAGATTTACAGGGAACATGCAATTATATGAATATAACAACTGTCGTGAGGCTCAATTTGAATTCCTTGAGTCACTGGAAATGCAACAAAAATAAAACAAGTTAAAATGGAAGGGTCTTAAAATACAAACTGCAGCACAAGCGGTCAGATACCTTCTATCTTACAGTATAACTTGATTCCAGACCTGCCTTTTGATGTTTGGTTTTTGTAAAAGGAAGGTGTCAGTCAGGGAAGATACATTATTCTCTCAGGAATAATGCACTGGAATTTTCTACACTCCATACCAGACATCCCAAGTATGCCAGCATCTGCAAAGCTGGAAAGGACTTTCCCTACCCGGGGCAGGCAGTCTCAACACATCTCTCATTTAACTTGCAAAGCTGCCTGTGCTTAATCATTTGGCTGGCTTCTGTACCAAAACCACATCATTTGCCACCTGCCAGAGGAGATTCAAGCAGAATATCATCTAACAAAAATTAACTTCCAATGTTTACTTTCATACTTGAAATTGAAGTATTTTTGAAACTTGATACAATTAAGTAGTCACTCTGTTGCTATCTAATCTAGAAAATACTTTTAATAAATATTCACAGAATATTTATAGAGGTCTAACTTGGTCTTTGCTATTTCTCTTCTTGGTTTCTTTCTTTTTTTCCTGGTGCTAGGGATTGAAACTCGGGCTTTGCTCACACTAAGCAAGTGCTCTACCACTGAAATATATTTCAAATCCATTATTTCTCTTATTGCAGATAAAGTGAAGAACTAGCATTTTTGGCCCATTTAAAATTTTAAAGCATTTACAATGCTTCTTAGCAACCATTGCATAAATACCTTCCATGGTCAGGTTTTGGACCCCAATTCTAATATGAAATTACACCTGAAGGGACAGACCAACATCTCCTGAGGCTACATGGTGCCTATGAGGCCTCTGCTCTAGGAAGACACAGCTGGATATTTACCAGGGTAGGTATTCCAGCAGGTGGCTCTTTTGTATGGTCTCCGGCACACTCATTTTCTTTCCTACACCTGTTTTCATTCATCCCAGGCAAGTTAGTATATGAACTTAAGTCCTCTGTACAGCTACTGTCTTCTGCCAACTTGACTTCAGCCTCTTTTTCAGCCACAATTTCATCAGAGGCCTCTCTTAGCATTGTTAACCTAGAGTGAAATAAAACAAAGTGCATTTTAAGCCAAGCAGGTGTACTCCATGAACAGTGCAACCTGGGCATATTAACCTGTCATCTGGGAATTGAACAACAGATTTACATATATTCAAGCCATTCTTTGACTGGAACTTTTAATTGGCTCATAAAAAGTAAAATTTTCACTTTAGTTTCTAGGAATCTGCAGCAAAGTCACCATAATGTGATACTAAAAATTTTAATTTATGAAATTTACCTAATTTCCAGATTATAAAATAAAAATATTCTGACTATGACATATACATTTTAAACTTGGCATTTAAAAATATGGGAACTCCATAAAATGACTTAGTATTAGTTACTTGTTATAAAATTAATTATAGAAGGAGGTTACTCTCAGCTAAGAGTGAATAAAGACATAACGATTAAAAATACTCATTCCTCACTCCTGGCTGTGCTCGTAATCTAGCAGACAGAACCTGCAGAGGGGTTTACTACTGGCCCAACAAATGACTCTTGGTGCCACCCGAGCTTCTCCTTCACAAAAGCCACGCCATGGACTTGGCTTTGCATTGCATGAAGTGCTGCAGGATCTGAAGACAGTTTATACAAAATATATAAAGCAGGAATATTAGGATGGCTCAGAACACCTCCTGCTTTGCTGAGTTTTGTATTCTTAGAATGGAAATATTTTTTCAACTGATATCTAAATGTCCAGCTTTAACTGAAACTGGTGACATACTACTAGCATTAACAAATTAGCACTGACTAGTTATTCAGTATCTAATCATGAGTGTACAGATAACCAAGAAGGTATAGATACAGAGAAGGAAACAGAAAATAAAGGTAAAAGTAGTAACAAAAAGAGAAATAGCTACTGAGAACCTCTTTCCCAAGTATTTGCTTTGTCTTACCATGGCCTAAATGGTTCTCCTGATATTTTGAAGAAAAAAAGAGCCAGTTTTTAATTTATCTGACTATTATAAGACGCTATTGTTTTTTAAAATTGATAGTATTCACTTAAAAAAAGAGCTTAGAAAATAGTGCTAAAAACTTTACTTAAGGTAAGCCAAGCCTGGTGACACAGGCCTATAATCCCAGCACTCTGGAAGGCTGAGGCAGTATATCACAAGTTTGAGCCCAGCCTGGTCAACTTGGAGACTTAGTGAGACACTGACTCAAATTAAAAAAATTAAAAATGGTCTGAAGATGTGGCACAGTGAAAAGGCTTTGGGTTTAATCTTAGTATGGCTGAAAAAAAAAATCCTCAAAGCAAGAATAAAAGTCTAGCTAATGAATAAAGATCTAGCTAATGTGTTCACTTTGCCCACAAGATATTCTCTAGCCAAGACTGACTAAAGCCACATTGTTTTCCATAATTCTAGAATAAGACATGAACTGATAAAGGTTTCCCTGGAAGTATCTTGTAAGAAACCAAAGCCTCCTTATGGGGTTCCCACTTGGAGAAGGAAAATGACTACCCTACCAATCTCCTTCTGGACCCTGATGCTCTTCTTCTGGTCCTGGTTCCTCCTCTTCTTCTTGTGCTAATTCTTGTTCCACAGCTAACAGCTCAACTGATGTTCTTGCAAGTAAAGCTGACACTGCATCCTGAAGAATGTAAAACATAAGGCAATTAACATCATATACTACAAGAAATGATTTAAAAACTCATCAGACTCAGAGTTATACTCCAGCTGTGAAGAAGCAGCTTGTATCAGATCCAACTCTCCTGCTGAGAACAAATATGAAAACAGAATAAAATGAAACAAAAAACAAATCTCCTAGATGCTTTAAAACATTGAAGAGTAAGTAACAAAGACTATCAGGACTAGAGGGCCAAGAATCCAGGGAGAAGAGAACTATAAAAAAGGTGAAGTGGCCTTAACTGGGACTATAGGCCTGTGCCACAAGACCTGGTTAGCTTTCACTAATTTATAAACACTGTTTTCTAAGCTCTTTTTAAAAAGGTGTAAACTACCAATTTTGAAAGATAATGGTAGCTCATTATACAGTCACTGCCACTCCTTTCTCTTGAGGGTGTTGTACAGCGTGCAGGCCAAACATACTGGCTGCCCAGAACTGTGAGTGCAGGATCAGGAGGACGGAAGACTACCACTGAGTGTCAGACCACCAAGGCAGGCAGCATATCCATGGTCACAGAAAATGAACTGTCGGGTGAGCCTAATATTATCCCTCATATTCCTGCCAAGGCATTTACCATCCTAAGCTGTATATGTGCACAGCAAGAAGCTGAAAAACAAAAGCAAAAAGCCAACTGCTCAAATAATAAGCAGATATTTCAGTTGTCTCAAAGGGAGAGAAAAATTAGAATTCAGGTGCCCTGGGTGATTTGGGTAATCTTTCCATATTGTAATCTGCCTTCTAGAAGAATATTAAATTCTCTCTGGAAGATGTATCAGTAAGACTTCCACAATCCCTCAAACACAATAGCTAGCATTCCATCAAGACTTAATGACTAAAAGCCAAAAGAAACAATAGACAAAAGAGGCAGACCCACAGGTGATTTGCACACTGCAGGTATTTAAATAAAGAAATTAAATTTTTACAATTCATGAAATGGTGGAAAATTTCATTACCATAAATCCAAAGAAAGCCTCATTAGCATATGAGAATGAAGTTGCTGAAAATAAAAGACAAAATCTGACATGCAGTGAAAGAAAAAAGAATATATTACTTTGTAAGAATCAAAAGTCATCCTGTCCTCCAACAGCTCAACACAATCAAGGGAAATCAAATGACACAATATGTTATCTGTGACATGTTCAAAGAAATAATTTCCCCCCAGCATTCTGAATGTGTGGCAAAAACTGTCATAAATGACACTGAAATAGACAACCATAGACCTGTACTAAGAGAAATACTAAAGGAAATTCTTCAGGTAGAAGGAAAATGACATACATGAAAGTACAATAATGCAAAAGGTAATAAAACTACAGCAGTAAGGACAAAAAGCTGGAGAAATCTAACTGAATATTGATTGTAATAAAATAATGTTTTATGGGATTCATTATAGGTGACTAAAATATATAACAAAAATCACACAGAAGAAAGGTAATAAATGGAGTTAAAGTCTTTTAAAACGCTTAAGCTTTCTGAGGAAAAAGTAAAGTATTAATTGAAGGTAGCTCCTAATAAGATAAGGATTTATGCTGGGAAACAGCAAGAAGTAAAATGCTGTATAGTGGCTCCACCTCATCTAAGGTTTTTCTTTCTATGCTTTCAGGTACACATAGCGAACCACAGTCCCAAAATTTAAAATGGAACATTCCAGAAAATAAGCAACTAGTAAGTATTAAATTGAACAGCATTTTAATAGTATAATTAAATCTCTAACTGTCCCACTCAAGTATGCCTAGGAAATGAGTCATCTTCTGTCTAGGTATCCACACTGTATATACTACCTGCTCACTAGTCACTTAATAACCATCTCAATTATCAGTCTAACTGCTGTATCATAGCCCTGTGCTCAAGAACCCTTAATGTAGTTAATAATGGCCCTAAAGTACATGGTTAGCAATGCTAGCAATATAGACATGCTGAAGGAAGCTATAAAGTACTTCAAGTGAAAAGGTGAAAGTTCTCAATAAAGAAAGAAAAAGAAGCTGGGTGTGCCGGCTCAAGCCTGTAATCCCAGCATTCAGGAGGATGAGATAGGAGGATTGCTGTGAGTTTAAAACCAGCCTGGGCTACACAGTGAGTTCCCTGTCAGTCTCAACTACACAGTGAGACCCTGTCTCAAAAAACAAACACACAAACAATAAAAAAAGAAGAAAGAACCAGATGAAGTTATTATTAATGTCTATGGTAAAAATGATTATTTCAAACCTATGAAATTGTGAAGGAAAAAGACATTTGTGCTAGTTTTGTTGCCACACTAAATTTAAAAATTATAGCCATAGTGTGTGATAAATACTTAATTAAGACAGAAAAAGTATTAAATTTATATGTATCTGTAGTAAAAATATAGTATATAAAACCTTCAGTACTATAGTTTCAGGCATTCACTGAGGATCCTGGAATACATCCTTTGTGGATCGGTAGGTACTATTGTATTACTAATGATTTAATAGCAGAGAAAAAATTTTAAGAAAATTTAATCCAGAAGAAGGAGAAAAATAACACAGATGGGACTAAGAAAATAAATGGCAAGATGACAGGTTCAAATTCAAATATACCAGTAATAACATTAAATGCAAATGAGCTAAATATTTCAATGAAAAGATGGAGATTTTAAGAATGGATAATAAACCTGTATCAACTGTACATTGTTTACAAGTGGGACATTTTCAACATAAGAACTCAGAAAGGTTGAAAGTAAAAGAATGGCAAAACATAAACTATGCAGAAACTGATTTAAAAAACATGCTTATATAGCTTACTAAGCCAAAGTAGATTTTAAAACAAGAGTTACTGCTGGAAATAGAGACATTTTATAACAATAAAAGGTTCAGTTGAACAGAAAGAACAGAATGCTAAATTTACATTTATATAGTAACACAGATTCAAAAAGCAAAAACTACCACAACTACAAAGAGAAATATATTCATGTGTCATCATAGGTTAGTGAGATTTAAACATACTGAGCAATAACTAATAAAGCAAGCATACTAAAAAATGAGTAGATGTGGAAAATTTGAAAAACAACATTAAGAAACTTGACATGAAGAATATACATTCTTCTCCAGGATAATGGAATGTTTACCAAAAATACATCTAATGCTAAGCTATAAAGCAAATCCCAGTATTCTACATAATTAAATAGTATGTACCCTGTTTTCTAAACACCATGAAATAAAACTAGAAATCAGTGCTAAAAGAGAAAGCAGAAGAAGGCAACTGTTTGAAAATTAAGTAAGTATACTTAAAAAAAATTAACTGTTAAAAAACAATATAAAGTATAAAATGTTTTTAACTCCAGGACATTTCATAATGTCACATCACACTATGAAGAGCTGTCAAAGCTGTGTTCAAAGAGAAATTTTTAGCCCCAAATGCATATATTGAAAAAGGAAAAACTGTAAAATCTAAGCATTGATTCCAAGAAGCAAAAAATAGCAAATTAACTCAAAGAAAATATAAGAAATAGTAAATAATAGGAATCAGCAAAAGAGTAAACAAATATATGTATGTATACTACAGAAAAATAAATAAGGGCAAAAGTTAGTTCTTGGAGGGAGGGAGAAGAGGAAAGGGATTTTTTAAAAAAGGAAACAAGCTGTGTTATGTATATGTAATCACTTCCCAACATGATTATAAACTGCAAACATATACTAATAAAATAAAAAATGTGACAAGTACCTGGTGAGATTGGGGAAAAAAGCACAAATTACTAATGTGATGAATGAAACAGAATATGGTAAATCCTTGCATATCTGAAAAGATAATAAAAGGATATTATGCATAACTTTATGCTAAGATTGATAATTGTAATTAAATCGACAGGGCAGGGGTGTAGCTGGGATACCTAATGCCCCAGGTATCCATTATAATAACTCAAAATCTTGAATGGTACAAGTATTACACCATCCTCCAGAAATTAAACTCAGAAAATAACCATTCAAAACATTTTTTGAAGGCATAATTCTCTTGCAGAACCCTGGTTCATAAAGTCTTCTTACCAAAAAGAAAACTAATAGGCTTTGCTAATGAATTATCTTAGGAGTTTTCCCAAATATTTAAGGAAGAAATAATGTTCACTTTATAAAAACCCTTTGTAGTATTAAAAGGGAGAAATACTTCCCAACATATTATGAGGCCAACAAAAAACCTGAATGCCAAAATTTAACAATGACAAAACAAGAAAATTTAAAAGACTAATCTCTCATGTACATAAATGAAAAAAATCCTGAACAAAAAACAAAATCACAAAATCAACAAATTAAATCTAGCAACATAAATATAAATATAAGGAAGTACACCTTGAAGTCTGTTTTATTACAAGAAATGAGGGGCAGTTTAACACTGAAAAGTCAGTTAGTGCATAATTTATCTCATTATGAAAAAGAGAACGACGACACATTTTAAAAATAAATTTTTCTTAGTGCCTATGAAAATAAAATACAGTGTTGCCAGGGATTTTAGCTCAGTGTTTCCAGCGCCTGCTTTGCAAGCACAGGGACCCGAGTTTGATTACCGGTACCCCCTCAAATAGTGTTGGGTTTCAATGCAGTATTTTCATACATGCATATATTTAGATCATATCCATACCTAATTATCCTCCCTTACACCCTAATCACCTCTTGTTTGATAATAGTTTCTGTTCCACTTTCATATCATCTTTTTTAGATTCCACATATTAGGGAAATGTGATACTTGTATTTCTGAGTCTGGCTTATTATGTTTAACATGATGATCTCCAGTTTCATCCATTTTCCTGCAAATGACATAATTTCATTCTTTATAGCGGAGTAGTACTCCATTGTGTGTGTGTGTGTGTGTGTGTGTGTGTGTGTGTGTGTGTGTATGAATGGATAAAGAAAATGTGATACATATCTTTATCCATTTGTTAATGGACAGGCTGGCTCCAATCTTGGCTTGTATAAATCATGCTACAATAAACACAGATATTCAGGTATGCCTACACTGTGCTGATTTTAATTCTTTCAGATATATACCAAAAGGTGATATAATTAGGACATTTGATAGTTCTATTTTTAGATTTTTGAAGAACCTCAATACTGATTTCCACAGTAGCTGTACTAATTTACATTTCCACCAGCAGTACAGAACAGTTCCTTTATCCCAACATCCTGATCAGCATTTGTCTTTTGTATTTTTGATGATAGGCATTTTGACTTTGGTAAGATGGAGTTTCAATGTAATACTGATTTGCATTTCCCCAATGGCAAAATATGTTGAATACTTTTTCATATATTTAGTGATCATTTTTACATCTTTTGAGAAGTCTCTATTCAATTCATTTGCCCATTTATTGACTTGGCTATTTGATATCTTGGCAAGTTTTAAAAGTCTTTTTTATGTTCTGGATTAGTGACAGCCAACCTTCTAGAGTGTTCAAAGATAACAAACAACTGGCTATGTCACAGGTTCACCGCCACTCATCCAGATGTTACTTCTTTGTCAGAAAAGTAGCCGGCAAAGATGTTCTTCTATCCTGTAAGATATCTTCCTATTCTTGTCCCACCTTTTCTTTCAATACTGTAGTGAAAGTTCTAGGTAAGACAAATAAGGAAAAGATATGAAGTGTACACAACAGGAAAGAAAGAAGTAAAATTATCTCTATTTGCAGAAAATATGATCTGACATGTAGAAAAGTCCAAAGAATTTACTTAAAATGATTAGAACTAATAATGAGATCAGCAAGGTTATAGGATACAAGTAGATAAAAATCAATTATTCAATGAATAATCTAAAACTGCAATAAGACAATAGTACTATTCATAATAGTATCAAAAAGAATAAAAATACTCAGAAATAAATTTAACAAAAGCAGTGCAAATTTGAGCTTTAACAATTATAAAACACAGTTGAAAGAAATGAGATAATTAAATAAATGTAAAAATATTCCGTATTTATGGATCAGAAGTCTTGAAACTATTAAGATGACAGTACTCCCAAACTGGCCTACATATTTAATGCTAATCCTATCAAAATCCCATTTTGAGAGGGAGCATTAAAATTTATGTGCAAAATGTAAGGGGTTCTGAATAGCCAAAATTTCCTGTTTTTTGAGACAGAGTCTTGCTGTTATCTGTATTGCCCAGACTGGCCTTGAACTCCCAATCCTCCTGCCTCAGCCTCCCAAGTAGCTGGTAATATAAGTATGTGTTACTATGTCCAGCTCAAAACAATCTTGAAAAAGGAAAACAAGATTGGAAGACTCACAATTTCTGGTTTCAAAATGAATACAAAGCTACAGTTATTAAGGTAGATGGTACTGGCTTAAAGACATATGAATTATTAATACACAATTGAGAATACAGATGTATAAACCTTCACACTAAGGTCAACTGATGAATTTAATGGCAGGAAGGATTTTTTTTCAGCTTTAACTGAGTTTATTGGTACATTTTAGGGATACAGTACAGTTACATTCATTGTTGGGATCTTGTACCTCTACATGACAAGTCTTGGTTCTCATTTTTTCCCCTCATCCCTGCCCTCCCTTCACCCCCTCCCTCCCCATCTACAAACACTTTATTTCCATCTTTTCATTATCTCACATTTTTTTCTTTTCCCTATTACCCTTCCCCTACCCATCCCATCTTCCCTACACCTTTAGCTCCTTTCTTCCCATTTCTAAATGTCAGTAATCTTATTAGGATCTTATGTATTATAGGAAGGATTTTTTTAATACATAGTCTGGGACAACTGCAGATCCACATACAAAAGAAAATTCAGACCTCTTCCTCATATCACATATAAACAACTCATGGATCAGAGATTACCTACATGAAAGACTTTAAAACTCTAAGAAGGTACAAGATAAAGCTTAGTGATATTAGGTTAGGCAAAGTCTTCTTTAATATAATATCAATAGGAGGAGGAGGAGGAGAAGAACAAGACAGAAAAACCATATTTCCTTCAAAATTTAAATCTCTGGTGCTAATGAAATCATCACAGGAGTGATAAAACACAAAATGAGAGAAAATACTTGCAAATAATTTATCTCATAAGAGACTTGTAAGAACATATAGAATGACATTCATAGGAAAATGGATACATATTGAAGATATACTCCTAAGTGAAATAAATAAGTCCCACATGTGTAAATACCAAATAGTTTCCCTGGTGTGAATATTCTGCAACAATGCATAAGATTCTAATAAGATTACTGACATTTAGAAATGGGAGGAAAGGAGCTAAAGGTGTAGGGAAGGTGTGATACATAGGGGAAGAACAAAAAGGGAAAAGAAAAAAATGTGAGAGAATGAAAAGATG